CCTGCCCGGCCGCGCCTCCCCGCCCCCTCCCTTTGTTCCCGGCCCCCTCCTCCCCACTCGGTGGCCCCGCCCCTGGGTGGGTGACCGCGGCCCAGACCCCGGGACCAGGTGGTCACTCCCCGCCCCCCCCCAGCCTCGATGTCTGCGCTGGTAATCCGGGGGACACTGCCCACCTCGCCAGCATGGCCCCGGAGGACGCAGTCGGTGACTACATGATGGGCGTCCGCCCCGGGGAGCGGATCTCCTTGACTTGCTGTCCTGGGCTGCCCCTGGGTCTGGACCCCCTTCGTCCCTCCGCAGGTGGGCCGGGCCGGCGGCTGCTCAGGTCGTTGGATTTGCCCCTAGGCCAGCCACTGACCCCTTCTCCCCCTCGCTCCGGCGTTCAGGAGGGCTCGGGTAGGGGGAGCTTACTGGCCCCCCTCTCCACCTCTCCTCTGTGTCCTGGAACTGCTGGGGAAGAGGGGAGGGGGAAGCGGGATGGGCCGCCCGGATCCCTGGAGGCCAGAGAACATTGCTGGGAAAAGGGATCTGGGTCTGATTCAGAGGCAAACAGATCGTTCTTTTGATTAAAGCACAGTGGAGGAGGCCGGGGGAGCCCAGGGCCCAGCACCATTGCAGCCAGTCAACACCCCCACTCACCCCCAGCGAGGCTCTGGGGTTCTGGTGAGGGGCTCTGTGGTGTCCATGTGTCAATGGAGGGGTGCCTGGGCGCCGGCCCCCTCCTCCCTCCTCTCTAGGTCCCTCACCTCCTGACCTGCCAGCCCCTCCCTGGAGCACCTTGTCATAGCTTTTTGTATATGACTCTTGGCCTCTGCAGTGACAAAGGCAGTAGCTGCAGTGGCTGGGTTTCTAGAAGCTTGTGTGCCTGGTGCAGACCTCTCATTCAACCCCCCAGACTGCTCACACCAGGGTTGATTGCTCCTGCTTCTCAGGCAAGTGGACCCTGCCACTGGAGAGGCTCAGGCCCGGCTAGGGGTCAGAGGTTGAGCCGAATTCAAGCCAGCCATTGGGCATATTGCTCTCCTGGTCCCCAGGTAGAGGCACTGCCCCCCTCCATGACTCAGAGTCCAGTGCTGAGTTGTCCACACAGTCTGTGCCCACTGCGCTGGGCATCTCAGCCTGGGAAGGCGGCCTCTGGCTCTGGCACAACATAGAAGAGACACACTGCCTCCCAAGGAGGAAGGAGGGAGCTTCTGAGGCACTGCCTGGAGTCACAGTCACGGTGGGTTTTCAGAACCCCAGAGGTTTGTCAGGTTGAAATGGAGCCACCCCCCACTCCCCAGATCTCCATACCCCAAGCTATACCTCACCGCAGAAAAGTTGACTTGGGGCTTCACCCAAGGTCAAAGCTGCTCAGGCTAAGACCCAGGCCTCCTGCTTCTGGCCTGGGCTGAGTCCAACTGGGAACAGCAGAGGGGAGTGTTGGGGTCCCCCTGAGACCACTCACCGGCTCGGCAGCACCCCTGGCCTCCGTCCTACCTCAGCTGCTGCTCCAAATGGAAAGGACTGTCCTGGCCAAGGCTCCGGCACCGCCTGGGTGTCAGTGTCACTGATAGGCAGGTGCCAAACTTCCTGCAATGGAAACCCAGGAAGTGTGCTAGCTGAGAACACACGCCCTTTGTGTGCCAGCTCTGAGGCCAAGCTCCCCTCCTCCCCCCCTCCCTGCCCAGCTCAGCCCAGTTTTCTCCCCTTTCAGATGCCCCAGCAGGTAAAGGACTAGACTTCTACTGAGGCCATGTCAGCCAGACCCTGGGCAGCAGGGACTGGGAGGGAGGATTTGAGACATGATCTAGGGCCATGGAGGCCATGTGCTGGTCACACTGCTATCCAGCACTGGCTGGACAGTTGAGGCAGGCATCAGGGAGCCAATAGGAATTGAGCCAGACTATTGGTGTACATCCTGTGGGAAATGGAACTGGGACGGGTGGAGACATTAAAAAAATAAGATTAGCCGGGTGCCAGTAGCTCATGCCCGCCTGTAATCCTAGCTACTCAGGAGGCTGAGATCTGAGGATCATGGTTCAAAGCCAGCCCAGGCAGGAAAGTCCGTGAGACTCTTTTTTTTTTTAACTTTGGAACTATAACTGTTTATTCATATTTTACAGATAGACAAATTGACAGATATGTTGGTACACACATGATGGAGCATGCTTAGATTTTAAAATCGGCCGTTTAAAGTTTTTGGAATTCTAGCAGTATTACTTTGCCTAATTATCATGGAACCACATGGTCAATTTAAAACACAAACCTTTGCCAACAACAAGAAACCTTTCAGTACACAGGAGACAAGACACAGGCATGTGGCATGGCATAATGGTGCCAGGGCTGGTCAGGTCAGGGGGAGGGTCACAGAATCAAGTCTAGTTGGTGTGAAATTGAGTTGGCACGAAACAGCAGCTGAGCTTCCATGATGCCAAGATGGCGCATCTGCCATATGGTCAGTGCTGGGGTGAGACTGTTGTGCCGGGCCGCAGACCCCCAAAGACCACCAAAGAGCCGAATCCGATGCAAGCACACCAGAGCCATTTATTGCAAGCTTGAGCATGGACTCAACAATCGTCGCCAAAGTAGCGGGTCAGAGTTGTGAGTCCGTGAGACTCTTATCTCCAATAAACCACTAGAAAACCAGAAGTGGTGTGGTTGCTCAAATGGTAGAGCACCCGCCTTGAGCTGAAGAGCTGAGGGACAGCGCGCAGGCCCAGAGTTCAAGCCCCACGACCGACAAAAAAAGAGTAAATGAAGGAAGGAAGGAAGAAAAGAAAGAAGGGGGGGAGAGAAGGAGAAAAGCCAGAGTGGAGCTGTGGTGTAAGTGGTAGAATGCTAACCTTGAGCAAAATAAGTTCAGGGACAGTGTTCAGGCTCTGAGTTCAAGTCCCAGGACTGCCACAAAAACTAAAGAACCTAAAAAAAAAAAAGGACTGGGAAGGTGGCTCAGTGGTAGAGCGGTTGCCTTGCATGCATGAGGCCCTGGGTTCGATTCCTCAGCACCACATAAGCAAAAAGAAAAAAGCCGGAAGTGGCGCTGTAGCTC